ATGAAAATTGACATGAATCCAAGAGATCCTCTCGCGTACAAAGACGCCATATTTTTTTCTGGCCACAAGTTTTTGGGTGGTCCGGGATCTCCTGGTGTACTGATTGTGAAAAGGAAACTTATGCAAAACGAAGTGCCGACCGCACCTGGAGGTGGGACCGTGCTTTTTGTTACTGAAAAGTCTCAAAAGTACTTAAGCGATATTGTCTCGCGTGAGGAAGGGGGTACGCCAGATATTTTGGGCAGTATTCGACTCGGTCTAGCTTTTAGGCTGAAACAACGTGTTGGAGCTAACAAGATTATGGCGTTGGAACGTCGTCACGCGCAGCACGTTCGTGAAGCATTAGTCAGAAACCCGAACATCGTGCTGCTTGGTCGCCATACATACAACATGGACCAGTTGCCAATCTTTTCAATGATGATTCGCTTTGATGACCGTTTTCTACACCATAACTTCGTGTGTGCATTGCTGAACGATCTTTTTGGTATACAAGCTCGTGGCGGCTGTCAATGTGCCGGTCCGTACGCAGCTCGTATGCTTGGACTGAATATAAAGCATACAATTGCGCTAGAACACGCTTTTACGGAAGAAGATGAAGTTATTAAGCCGGGTGTCGTTCGAATGAGTTTTCCGTACTTTGCTGACGATGCCGAAGTTGAGTACATTCTTGATGCAGTGAGATTCATAGCCGAAGAAGGATGGAAATTTCTACCACAGTATGAGCTAGACGTCCGTTCAGCTGCATGGCACCATATTTCGCGTAGTTCGGCTTACTCGTCAGCAAAGAGTAGTCTGTCAGATCTGCAGTTCTTTAGTGAAAATGCAGCTAGTTCGTCACCACAATATCAACCCACCATTCGCTGTATCGCAACTCATCGTCGGGAAAACCTCAAGCAGGCCGCACTTCAAGCAGATATCTGTATTAAAGAGGCAGCGTTGCTTCCTAACTTTCCAGAGGGTCAAAAGGTGTATAAAAAGCACGAGTGGCTGCGTTGGTTTGTCTATCCATATGAAGCTGTTGCGAAGTACAAGATGGGTGTTCACAAGGTAGCGCCCACGGCGAAGATTACAGGGCCATGTCAACCGCAATTGTACATGGAGGACGCTACGAATCACATT